GGGAGAGGGGGAGGTGGTGGTACACGGACAGGACTGGAAGTTAAAAAAAAGGCAGAACACGGAGGTTTAGAGCGTATGCCAAGTCCTTGGTCAACAGTTAGCCAAACAGACCGTCACTGAGGCACACTGATCTTTTTTGCTTCTTGCTCTGGATAGTTGGAGAGAGACATGCTATGCCAACCTGACCTCTGCAGGCTCAGCATAGATCGTTGCCTTCTAAGTGCCAGGTCTGCTGGGTGCTGGAGACTCACGCCTGTAATCCTAGCTACTCAGGAGGCAGAAAACTGAGGATTGTGGTTCAAAGCCAGCCTGGGAAGGAAAGTCCCCAGTTAACCACCAAAAAATGGAAAGTGGAGCTGTGGCTCATAGTGGTAGCCTTGAGTGAAAGAGCTCAGGGACAGTGCCCAGTCCCTGAGTTCAAGCCCCATGACAAATAATAAATAAATAAATAAATCCAGATTGACTCCATTCCTCTCCTCTTGGCTACAGCAGCGTTTATGATTGGTCGGAATCCACAGGGAACCAGTATCTGGAAAACGAGCTATGTCTTTCTCCATTGAACTCCCAGGGGTCTGCATAAAGAAAAAGATGGTCATTATGAGCTATGTTAAAAGCTGTATTAATCATTTCTTTAAAATTCCATTTCCAGAAGTATTATTAGTCCATTTGTGTTGATCAGGAAATTATTGTGTCCAGCTCCAGCTGTATCTGTTCATGCAGATCAAGGCCATAGAGGTTTGCACATCAGAGGTAAAGCATGCCCTCTCCAGGTTTAATCCTAATTCCCTTAAAATTGAATGTTTCCTCCCATACTGCTGAGAAACAGTGAAGTGCCCTTCCCTGCTTGCCATAGCATGGGAACGGTCAGGAAGGAAACTGCTGGAGCAGGGGCAGGAAAGGCCCCAGCATTACCTTTGTCAGAGAGTGAGACACCGGGGTGGGACACTGGGGAAGGGAATCTCAGAAGTTTCATTTCTGTCTGCCAGCATGAACTGAGCTCAGCCTCCTCTTGTGGCCTGGACATTGGCTAGTTAGAACAAGGCCAGCCTTCTAGACGAGCTTTGTCTCCACATCACATTCATGGTAGTGAGGTCAGAAACTGACATTTAGGAGGAGGTGGTTGAAACACTGGAAGTATCTTGGTAATCATAGCCTGGATGCTCTCAGTGTAATACTCTGGATGTAATCTGTGAGGGAACAAGTGTTATTTCCATTTCTTTGAACTTTGACTCACAAGAAGTATCTGAGCATTCTTCAAAACAAAACACTGTTGTCTCGGGGTGATGTGTCAAAGCAGATCTTCTGACAGCACCTTGGCCCGTGACTTAGGATCCAGAACAAAAAGCCACTGGTTCCCAGTGATAACAGAAATCTCCAGAAGAGTTCTGAGATCTCCCCCAGCTTTCCAGTACATGCAGAGCTGACTTTCTTCCTTCTAGCTTGCGCCGTTCTCAGCTGCAGGCCCTCTGTGATACTCCTGCACAGCTAAGCCAGTGGCACCTGCCTAGAAGCCAGCTCTCACCTGTCTTGGCTTCCTGAAGGCCTGATGGATGCACTATAACCACAGAGACAGGAACAGTGTGGTGGTAAATCTCACTCCTGAAAGTTGTGGTGGAATGACGCCAGGATTCTGCCACTCAAATCCCGTAGCAAGGTGGAAGGGATGGATGGGAGCACTCGAGAGGCATGCAGGGCCCACATAACAGTTTGAGAGAGGCTCCAGTCACTGAGTGATGAGTATGCACACACACCACATTTTGGCTGCTATCAGGGCATCATTTACTTTGACTTAGCCTCAGTTAAAGGCAGGTTATTGTGCTCCAGACACTCTCAAGTTAAGATGTCATAAACCATGTTAATGGCCCAGTGAGAGCAGAGCTGAAAGCTTTCCCCTCCCTCCAAGCATGGTAGCACAGGTGCCTTCCTTCTGTTGAGTGGTGACAGAACAAGGGGTGAGTGTGGCTCTTTTTCTGGAAACCATCTCACAACTTTGCAGCAAAAAAGCATTTTCCTCATAGACTTCACAAAAACATTTCTCAAAAAAGATGATGTAGGGCTGGGAATGTGGAATGTGGCTTAATGGTAGAATGCTTGCCTACATGCATGAAGCCCTGGGTTTGATTCCTCAGTACCACATAAACAGAAAAGGCTGGAAATGGCGCTGTGGCTCAAGTGGTAAGAGTGCTAGCCTTGAGCAAAAGAAGGTGAGGGCCAGTGCCCAGGCCCTGAGTTCAAGTCCCGGGATTGGCCAAAAAAAGATGATGTAGCTGGGCATTGGTGGTTCACACCTGTAATCCTAGCTACTCAGGAGACTGAGATCTAAGGAACACGGTTCAAAGCCAGCATGGGCAGAAATATCCATGAGACTCTTTTATCTCCAATAAACCACCAGAACACCAGAAGTGGCTCTATGGCTCAAGTGATAGAGCGCTTACCTTAAGCTGAAGAGCTGAGGGACAGCACCCAGGCCCAGAGTTAAAAAAAAAATAGCCTGGTACTGGTAGCTCACACTTGTAATCCTAGCATCTCAGGAAACTGAGATCTGAGGGTTGCAATTCAAAGCCAGCTTGGGCAGGAAAGTCTGTGAAGATCTTATCACCAGTTAACTACTAGAAAACCAAAAGTGGAACTGTGGTTCAAAGTGGTAGAGCAAGCCGGGCGCTGGTGGCTCACGCCTGTAATCCTAGCTACTCAGGAGGCTGAGATCTGAGGATCGAGGTTCAAAGCCAGCCCGGGCAGGAGAGACCGTGAGACTCCTATCTCCAATAAATCACCAGAAAACTGGAAGTGGCGCTGTAGCTCAAGTGGTAGAGCGCTCGCCTTGAGCTGAGGAGCTGAGGGACAGCGCCCAGGCCCAGAGTTCAAGCCCCACGACAGACCAAAAAAAAAAAAAAAACCAAAGTGGTAGAGCACTAAGACTTAAGCTAAAGAGCTTAGGCACAGCACCCAGGCCCTGAGTTCAAACCCTGACTGATCAAATAAATAATGTAGGGCTGAGAAGGTGGCTCTTTGGTAGAGTGCTTGTCTTGCATGCATGAGGTCCTGGGTTCGATTCCTCAGCACCACATTAGCAGAAAAAGCTGGAAGTATTGCTATGGCTCAAGTGGTAGAGTGTTAGCCTTAAGCTGAAGAGCTGAGGGACAGCGCCCAGGCCCAGAGTTCAGTCCCAGGACTGATAAAATAAATAAATAATCTAGGAATAATACCAATTGAGAGATAAGCTAAGGAGGGCAAGATAGTATACATAGCTTGAATGTTGCTCACATCAAATACAAGCCCTGGGATATTGAGAGTGAATAGACTGATAGAAGTAGAAATTATTCCTCTTAGAAATTCCATGTAAGTCAGGCACCAGTGGTTCACACCTGTAATCCTAGCTACTCAGGAGGCTGAGATCTGAGGATCACAATTCAAAGCCAGTCCTGGCAAGAAAGTCTGTGAGACTCTTATCTCTAGTTAACCACCAAAAAGCCAGAAGTACAGTTGTGGCTCAAATACAAGTGCCAGCCTTTGAAGAAGCTCAGGGACAGCTCACAGGCCTTAAGTTCAAGCCCCAGGACTGGCTGGAACCAAACAACAACAAAAAACAGTACACTACACTCAGAGACTAGAGAAAATGCAGAGCTGCATTCTCTATTGGTTTGACCTTTGTTGTTTCATTTAACCTCTCTGAACTTTGTTTATTTATCCAGCTCAACACGAGGCTGATGCCTGCCTGGCCTGCTCTGAGTTGATCTAAGCACAGTGTGTAGTGGGGCGTGAACTTGACAGGGACGCAGGTTTCCTCTAGACTTACATTAATAGAACAGCAACATTATAGGTATTTTTGGCTCCAAAGTTTTGTGTTTAATATGGACACTGGCCTGTCAGCCCACTCTCAGGGTGCAGGGTTTTGGACTAGATTGAAGCTAATACTGGGTGATCTCGAAGATGATCCTTTAACTCTGAGCCCGTGGTCCTTTGGCCTAGGCTATAGTGAGCATCCAGTGAGAAAGTGGCTATGAAAGCACTCAGAGAATGAGCTCATAGTGTTTAAGTGATTTAACACTCCTGCATATCTTCATGAGGCAGAAATAGCTTCCAGTTTCCTATGTGCTGGTAGATAGTTTCATAAAAAGATCAAAAGCCATGTGCCTTCATAGTTCTTCCCCTCATATCACCTTCTTGAGAACCAGCTGTCTTCTGTTTTTCTTCTTTTATCTCATACATGTAGCATTGACTGGAAACATTTGGCCTGCCAAGACTTGTAGTTGGGCATATGGGGTTTCTCCCACAGCCCCTGATAGCATCACCAGCAAATAGAGCACAGGCTGTACATTCCCTGTGTTCAGGAATGTTCCCCACCTCCTGGGAAAACCAGGCCAGCTCACAGGAGTGGAAAACTAAACTGCCTTTAAAAGGCCCTTGTACCCTACTGTGACTTCTTGCTCATCAGCACTGGGAACTGGTTCTTACTCTTAAAAGAATTTCCAGAGACTTTAAAGCACAAACAATGTGATTCAGAGTGGCCAGGGCTTATAGCACCTTGACCCAGGCCGGGTGCTGTTTTAGCCCTTTACATGGAAGGTAGGCTACAGCCCCATGAGTAAGCATTCACTGGAGATTAGGAAACCAAGAGAGACGTACTGAAATAACTAGTCTTGAGTCATTCAGGCAGAGATGGAATTTGAACTCAGCCATGTGATTCCAAAGCTCCTGAGCCCACCCCACCCCTCCCTTCCTGCAAGCAGACTGGTTACATGGCACACAGAGGTCTGAGGGGCAAGGGCTTCCTGTCAGCCCTGAGCAGGGCAGTCAGAGCTGTTAGGAAGGAAGAGCACATTAGCATTCTGCTGTATTTACCATGCTGTCCATACCAGGAAGGAAATAACCCTAGGTATAAACATGGCTTTCACTAAGATAAATGGCTCCAACCCAGGGAACCCTGTATGAATCCAAAAAAACCATTGAAGAGATCTGTCTTTTACATCCCACATGCGTTCTGTTTTCTCTTTCCTTAGTTTAAAAAGACCAAGTGGCATGAGCAGCCTCTTGGGGAAAATTGGAGCCAAGAAACAGAAAATGAGCACCCTTGAGAAGTCCAAACTGGACTGGGAGAGCTTCAAGGAGGAAGAAGGGATTGGCGAAGAGCTGGCCATCCATAATCGAGGGAAAGAGGGGTAAGAACTTGAAGTGACTTATGAGAGATGTGCTTGGTTTGAGCCAGCAGGAACTTTACATGGGAAATGAAGAAATGAGAGAAATGAGAGTGCTTAGGTTGTTCTAACATGGGGCAAGTCCTACCACGGGTGAGGGAAGGGGGGCGTGGGAGAACATAACTGTTTTTCTGCCAGTGATGTCTGTCAAGCTGAGTTTGCTGAATTACAGTTCTAGTGAACCGTAAGTTGCCTGGCGTATTCCCATGGTTAAAATCTAACTCAGTGTTAGCAGCCTTGGCTGAACCTGAATCATCTGGCCTTCTGAGAAGCCAGACTAGTTCAAATGCTTGAGGAGCAAAGCATTATCCTGATTTGTTGTTGTTGTTGTCCATTTCATCGTGGCCAGGTTGGGCTTCACCCTTGACTGTCAACTGCATTGTGTATCAGGCTCTTGGACATCATCCCAGGCCACTGCCCTGTCCCTTCCTGCCCACTGTAGGATACAAAGAGGATGTCCATAAATTGCATCTAGTTGTGAAAATGAATCCTTCCTTGTCACATTTGTCTTTCTGGTGATTGAGTGAAAAACCAGGAAAGTATTAATAAGGTTACTACAGAAGTGGGTCCGTGGTTCCAGGTCAACAGTAGAAGAAAGTGTCCTGTGCCCCCCTCCTAGTACAGTAGGTATGTCCGAGGCTCAGCTCCCTTGTCAGTAATACCACCTTCAGTGGCGAAGGCGGGTGTGCATCTCTCACAAGACAGCATGTAATGCGTATATATGAAATATGCTCAAAGCCCTGCAGAGCACCTGCCACACAGCAGCCTGAATAAATACAAATCATTCAGGTTATTAAGATATTAATAACCTGGGCTGGGAAGGTGGCTCAGTGGTAGAGCGCTTGCCTTGCATGCCTGAGGCCCTGGGTTCGATTCCTCAGCACCATATAAGCAAAAAGAAAAAAGCCAGAAGTGGCGCTGTGGCTCAAGTGGTAGAGTGCTAGCCTTGAGCTGAAGAGCTGAGGGACGGCGCCCAGGCCCAGAGTTCAGGCCCCACGACTGGACCCCAAAAAAAAATATATTAATAACTTAAATAATATTAAAGACAAGTCACAGATTTACTTTACAGGTCCTATTTCTTTGTTCTTCTATGTTTGGTTTGGACTTTGTAGTTTTGGAGGACTTGAAACAGGTTGTATAGCCTAGGCTATACTCAAAAACCTCCCTGCCTCAGTCTCCTAAGGCATTATGGGTATGAACCCTTGACCTAGGGGTCATGTTTCTTTCTTTTCTTTTCTGGTTTTTGTTGTTGTTGTTGTTTTGTGTTTGTTTGTTTGCCAGTCATAGGGCTTGAACTCAGGGCCTGGGCACTGTCCCTGAGCTTCTTTTACTCCAGGCTACCACTTGAGCCACAGTGCCACTTCCAGCTTTTTCAGTTTATTTGTACTGAGGAATTGAACCTGGGGTTTCATGCATGCTAGGCAAGCACTGAGCCACATTCCCAGCCTAGGGGTCATACTTCTTTTTTTTTCTTTTTTTTTTTGTCGGTCATGGGGCCTGAACTCTGGGCCTGAGCACTGTCCCTCAGCTCTTCAGCTCAAGGCTAGCGCCCTACCATTTGAGCCAAAGCGCCACTTCCAGCTTTTTCTGCTTATGTGGTGCTGAGAAATCGAACCCAGGGCCTCATGAATGCAAGGCAAGCACTGTACCACTGAGCCACCTTTCCAGCCCCTAGGGGTCATATTTCTAAATGAGGCTTCAACAGTATTTGTATGAGTCATTAAGCCAAACAACCTGTTTAGAATTTTTTTAGTGAAAATTATTTTATAAGCCTGCTTAATTACCAGATCCAGATCAGTCTGTCTGTGCCTCCAGACAGAGGCAGAAGAGCTAAAGCTATCAGGAAAAGCTCAGGACAAAGCAAAAGCATGAGTTGTGTTATCTCCATAAGAATGAGTGGCTCTGAAATTCACCCCACATCTCTCCACAATGCTTCACTGTTCACTTCCCACAGGATCCTCAGACAGCAGAGAAAGTTCTACTGTATACTATACTTTGGTGCTTCTTTGAGTGTTGATCATATGGGTTGGACAACGTTCCTCCTACTTGAGCAAATACAAGTCTTGTAAAAGTAAGGTGTGGCCCTGTTGAAGATAAGGAAGAGTTAATAAAGTACAGACTGGAGAGAAAACAAGATTAAAAGGCCATCTGCCCAATGAGGGCTTATCAGGCAATGGAAAATCACGTAACTGAGTTGGAACAACTAACAGCATGGCACTTCTATGCTCTGCTTTACCCTCCTGTGTCTAAGGCTCTTCAGCACCACTACCACCTCTACCATTGGATGATGCCATAGATCTGCCAACGCAGATCCTGTTGTGTTCCACTCCGGATCTTCGGGCCTGCCTTCAGGGCGCACACTTGTGCACGGACACACAGCAGACTCTTCTAACTGTAAAATATTTTATAATAAACAATTCAAATTTTGACCCCTCCACCAATCTGCCATGGACACCAGACTCAGTTTCTTTATCTATAAAGTAAGAATTTTTTAATATACCTCTCAAACTTGTTGTGGGAATTAAATAAGTAGCAGAAATACCCTACATGTTCATAAATAGAAGTCTCTTTCCTTTCTTTCTCCTATCCCTAGTTCTTTGCTTACATTCCTTTCTCCATCTGCCATTACTAACAATGCCAAGACTGAGGCCTTACTGGAAAGCTCCATGCTTTATCCCTTTAAATCCTTGCCAACTCTTGAGGAAAATTTTCCATAATGGTGGGAAATATAACTTGGGGGCATCTCCTCATCTCCCTTCCTGGCTTCTCTTCTTTCCCCGGGCTTTCAACTATGGAACCCAGCCCTAGGCAGCTGCCTCATCTTCTTCCTCAGAAGAGCTCATAAAAAGACTTGGCTACCATTTTCTACTGGTGACTTGAAATATCTCCTGTTTAAGCATCCCACTGAATTCCAGTCTTAGGTCTTGGGTGATTGGTTGATAGCTCCATCTGTATGTCCAAGCCACACATCAACTTACTGTCCAGAACCAAATACTTGCTCAGGCTTCATAAACAAACTCCCTGTATCAGACTTTGCAGAACATGCCACCATTGCTATTTGTCCACTGTCAAAATACCTCAGCAGCACTCTGATTCCCTCTCCCTACTCAAATCCTACAAGTGTAGTTGGTGCTTTTGTCACAGAGTGTTTCAGCCCATCCCTCTTTGTCTTGCCTTGCCATAGCTCCTGTGCAAGCTGCAGATGTCTGCTCCCTGAATCTACCTTTTAATCCATTCTCCACCAGCTGCTGAAATGATGGTGTAAGAGTGCAGGCCGTTTTTCACCTCCCATGGAAAACGCCCCTATCACACTTCTGATCCATCTTAAACTCCTAACAGGGTTAGCCAGATCCTCCCCTAGCCAGATCCTTCCCTCCTTTGGCTTCTCATTGAAAGCTCTGCTTTGCCATCCAGAGAAGCTCCACCCACCCCTGCCACTTAACCCTATTGGTTTTCTCTCTTGTATTTACCATCTGGTGCATCTATTAGCCAGAGTAAGCCACCTAGGACAGAGCCTTTTGCACCTAGAATAGCCCCCAGCACAGAGTAGGTGCCATCCTGTGGCAGTTTCTAAAACCCCCATCTTACTAGCTAACCTAGTAGAGCTGAACACCCAAAAAATGGGGGGCCTAGTCAGGCATCAATGGCTCATGCCTATAATCTTAGCTAATCAGAGGCTGAAATCAGGATCAAGGTTTAAAGTTAGCACAGACAGAAAAACCCCGTGAGACTCTTAATCACCAATTAACTACCAAAAAAACAGAACTAGGCCAGGTGCTAGTGACTCACACCTGTCCTTCTAGCTACTCAGGAGGCTGAGATCTGAAGATCACAGTTCCAAGCCAACCCAGGCAGAAAAGACCCATGAGACTCTTTTATTTCCAATTAACAACCAGAAAATCAGAAGTGGCGCTGTGGCTCAAAGTGATAGAGCACTAGCCTTGAGCAAAAAAACTCAGGGACAGTACCCAAGCCTTGAGTTCAAACCCCGTGACAGAATTTTTTTTTTTTTTTGTCGGTCATGGGGCCTGAACTCTGGGCCTACGTGCTGTCCCTCAGCTCTTCAGCTCAAGCCTAGCGCTGACCACTTGAGCCATAGAACCACTTCTGGCTCTTTCTGCTTTTTTTTTTTTTTAAAGCCAGAAATGTAGCTTATGGTGGTAAAGCACTAGCCTTGAGCACAAAAGCTCAGGGACAGTGCCCAGGCCTGAGTTCAAACCCCAGGACCAGCTCCCCCCCCCAAAAAAAATGGGTGAATGAATGAAGGAAAGAAAAAGATGGAGATGGGCTGGAAATGTGGCTTAGTGGTAGAGTGCTTGCCTTAGATACATGAAGCCCTGGGTTCGACTCCTCAGTACCACATAAACAGAAAAAGCCAGAACTGGCGCTGTGAGCACAGAGAGGCCCAAGGACAGTGCCCAGGTCCTGAGCTCAAGCTCCAGGACTGGCGAAAAAAGAAAAAGATGGGGGTGCCAAATGCATCATTGTCAGCAAGCAGAGTTGGTTTAAATGCCTGTCTCAGTGCAGTTATCTGTGCACAAGGAACTGCTGCTTTTCCTGTGGTCCCCAGCTGCCCTTCAGCCCGCGCAGCATTCTAGACCTGTGTCAGCACTTGGGTGCTGAGCATAGCTTCCTCTGACCCTGTAACTTACCGCACAGTGTCCTGCTGGTGTCCATGGAGCAGCAGCACAGCTTTCCAGTGCTTCTAGGCATGGGCCAGCAGGCTTAGTGGAGGGGACGAGGCATGGTGAGAAGGGAAATGCAGACGTGGCTGCTGTCCAATCACACTGAAGATCACAGAACTGAATGACTTGGAAGCCAGGTGTTTTGTGACTCGGAGAGGCATGAAGAAGGTACCAATAAAATTCATTTTCTCTCTCCAAAGAATCCATCTCCAACAGCGCTAGGGGTCCCTCTTCCAGAGCCAGCACAGCCTTGAGATAATCTGAAAGGAAGCAGTGGAG